ACCGCAGAGGAAAGCTCCTTCCTTGGAGGCCCTTATTCTTTCTCAGATCTGGTTTCCGGGTCTGAATAACCCTGCCACCATCTCTCCACTAATTCCCCAGATAAGGATCCACCGAGTTCTTCCTTTCAGAGCTTAACCTAGGAATATTTAGCAAAAGTACCCTAAGGCTAGGACATTTCCTCTTACTCTTTTTCTTGTTTATTTTGCATTAATTTCTATAACTGATTTTTTTAAAATCTCCTCAAAGAGCAAACAGCAGGCTTTGCCCTCGTGGAGATTATAATCTAGGAGGGCATGTGGCCATCAACTAGATCACAGAAATGCCATAACGGAAAACAGTGTGGTAGAAATGATATTAACCTTTTTTCCTTATCATCAATTTCATCATATAAATGTACCTGTTTGTGAGAAGATAAACCATACATGAGGAAAAAATTTATGAACTCCTCAGCTCTTTGCTTCCAAGGAGAACCTGAGATACAAGTTCTACCAAGTGGCAGCTGGCATTCAAGTGATAGAAGGAAAATTTAAAAGAACAGAACACAACACGAATAGGAAAGAGAAAGCAAAGCAAAATGTCTCAGCATCAGGTTGCTGTTATTAAGTAAGCCTGAAATAGGCTCTAATGAAATGCCATAGTGGAGGCTGTAAGGTCGATGCCATAGTGGAGGCCATAAGGATGATGTTATGATCTATGACCAGTACCACATGCAGGGTCTTAGTGGGATGATGAAGCAAATCATAAAAGTAAAACATGCCATAATCTGCATAATGTTTGAAAAAGAAACAACACACCCAGAAATGTACTCATCTGCATTTTTAAAAACTTGAAAGTTGTATTTTTGTGTTCTTTTGGAGAAACCTATAATTATCTGAAGGCAATAACAATGTTTTCCTAGAAACCATATAGCTTTTCTTGTTGATTTGTGTCTGTCTACCCCAAAACAATCTTCCCAATAGAATGAGATAGTTCAATTTAATTTATTACAGCAGTGAGACATTTTATGTCTATACATTCTGTCTTACCCCTTAACCTCAGCCTGCGTTAGAAAGTCCATTGGCCTAGTATTTCAGGATATTCTTTTGTTGGCATGATAAAAACATTTATACTCTGTATTAATATTTTATTCTAATTTAATAGAATCCATCGAGCATTTTTATCTCATGAAATGAAAGATTAAAATCTGCATATTTTTTCCTTGAGGACCTTTAGTTAATTTATCTTCTTTGAGTACAATGTTGAAACAATTTTCTACTTGGTTACAATTTGTGGCCAATGGCATATTTACTTATTCAATTCTCTTCCTACTTATTATTAGGGATGACCATCAGTGTTGACCTGCTGTTTCTTGGCAGACAAATGCTTCTTGATGGTGTTCCTACCTCTTTTCTGCTCACACAACAGAGACAACTGTTTACTTGCATACTTCTTGAACAACCATACAACATAAGATAGAAGATAAATACATAATAAACTAGTTATACATACATCCATTGTCTTGTAAATTGGTACCTTTTTCATTCAGGGCCAATCTTGATGACTTTGCAAATGCCCTGATGTAGTCTGGTACCATTAAATTGTAACTGGGACCTAATAAACCTGTAATGGCACCTGCAAATTCAAATGATCTAGCTGTGCTAACAGTCCCGTGTGTGTGTAAAGTGCCGGTATGTAAGCCCTGCCTTCCTCACTGGGCTTCTTAAAGAAGGGAAGGAAGTTGTTCTAATTCTGCAAACACAAAACGAAGACTATAGAAGGCAAAGCTTCCCAATGGGGTGCAAGACCACCATGGGTCCTTGAAGGCAATGAACCTAAATACCAAGGTTCCAATCAAAGGAGCCAGGTTTGTGTTCTTGGGGTGGGGGTGGGGGGATGATCTTGCCCAAATATCTAGGCTGGACTGCTTGGGGAGCTGTCTGATCTCTCACTTTTCCAGAACCTTAGGATAGTGCAGGGCAGGAGGTAGGGGGCTGGAGGAGGGAGTCAAGTCATATTGCCAAAGAATTACTACGCAATACCCCAGATCCTCTGGTGCCTTCCCACCTCACTGAGAGTAGAAGCCAAGCTGTTTGCTGTGTCTCTGTGGCTGAGCATGCTCTGGGCCCCTGTTGCCGGGGACCTCATTTCTTCTCTAGTTCTTAATTATTTGGGCTCCAGTCATCTATGCTTCTTTGCTATTCCTTGAATGTCCCAGGCATGTCCAGTGGGAGTCTTAGCACTGCCCTTCATGTTTCTGGAAGGCTTGCATCCACAGGCTTCCACTCTTTACACAGATGTCACCTTCATGAATACACGTTGGCCTCTCTGAAGCTGCAGCAAGTCTTCACTTCCCTGCGTTCTTGCCCCTTCATCCTGCTGGGCAGTCGCTGAGCATTCCCTGCCCAGAGACCTTCGGCCTGTCTTCAGCTCCGCGCTGCAGCTGTGACCACAGTACCACACAAGTTGGGGCTATAGCTGTTAGGCATCTTAAGTCTGTTTTGGTTCCTGGTAGTGTTCTCTAGGATTGAAGCCCATTGAGCTTCCTAAACCTTCTGGGGGCAGTTTCAAGGTTCACCCTTTGACAAATAGCCCCGGGGAGCTGGGGGATAAATAAACCCTGTGCCCAACCCTCATGGAGATCCTGCTGAGATGCATTTCACAGGATTTCACAGTGTGTCTCCAGTAGGACGGAACCTCTGTGGAAGGCAACATGAAGTCACTCATCAGCCAGCAGTTCACGGGCTCTTTTCCAGTTCTGCTTCCCTCCTGCGCTTTCTGGTCTGCTGCCACAAAGCTGCTCGCACCAAAACTCTGATTTCGGGGTCTCCTTTTGTGAATCCAACCCAAACAGGGACATGACTTGGCTTTCTTTTTATTTCATAACATTTACCTTGTCTAATGTGGCGTTTGAATGAGAATGTCCCCTAGGCTCGTGTCCTTGAACACCTGCTCCCTGGTTGGTAGCATTGTTTGGAGAGGTGACCCAGAGTTGCAGCCTTGCTGGAGAAACCGCGCTGTGCTGGGTTTTGGGAGTTTATGGCCTCATCCACTTCCAGGTTGCATTCTGTTTCATTTTGTACCTGAAACTGTGATGGCTCAGCTTCCTGCTCTGACCTCTTTCTTGTCCTTCCCAGCACTGTGGGTTCTCCCTTTGAACTGTAAGCCAAAAATAGTGTTTCTTCTGTAAGTTGCTTTTAATCATGGTGTTTTATAACAGCAATGAAAAGTAATTAATATACATGCTGAGCTAATTTCTTTCTTTCCTTATTGCTGATGTATCCCCTCCAAAATGAAAGCCTCATTCTGATATTGACATAAGAAGAAAATATGTATTCAGTTTTCATCCTGTGTTTCTGATGCAAGAGTTTCAAACATCCCTGGCCTCTGGGGAGCAATGAGTGTCTCTTTGCTTTTGAGATAACTGATGGATGGGGCAGGAGGTCTGACCGTCAGACTGCTTCAGGATGGGAGCTGCTTCCTGGTAAACCAAGGCATGATGAAGGACCTGGACTATGGAGTAAGACTGAGATTGAGTTAATCAGCAACTGCTAATAATTTAATCAGTTATACTAACATAACGGAATCACCACCAAAACCCTAGATAATGCCAGTTGGTGATCTTCCATATTGGGATGTGTGTGTGTGTGTGTGTGTGTGTGTGTGTGTGTGTGTGTGTGTTCACATGCATGCACCAGGAGGGTGATGTTTCCCAACTCCACAAGGACATAAGCTCCTATGCTCAGGAATCTTCCAGACCCTACTGGATATACCTCTTCCTGTGACTGCTCACTTATACCTTTTTTTTTCCTTTTTTTTAAATTTAATTTTATTTTATTTTACAATATAATTTAATTCTACATATCAGCCATGGATTCCCTTGTTCTCCCCCCTCCCGCCCCCTCCCCTTCCCCCCAGCCCACCCCACATTCCCATCTCCTCCAGGGCAAAGACTCCCCCAAAGATTGAGATCAACCTGGTAGATTCAGTCCAGGCAGGTCCAGTCCCCTCCCCACAGGCCGAGTGAAGCATCCCTGCATAAGCCCCAGGTTTCAAACAGCCAACTCATGCACTGAGCACAGGACCCAGTCCCACTGCCTGGATGCCTCCCAAACAGATCAAGCCAATCAACTGTTTCACCTATTCAGAGGGCCTGATCCAGTTGGGGGGCCCTCAGCTATTGGTTCATAGTTCATGTGTTTCCATTCGTTTGGCTATTTGTCCCTGTGCTTTATCCAACCTTGGTCTCAACAATTCTCGCTCATATAAACCCTCCTCTTTCTCGCCAATTGGACTCCCAGAGCTCCACCTGGGGCCTAGCCCGTAGATCTCTGCATCCAGATCCCTCAGTCATTGGATGGGGTTTCTAGCACGACAATTAGGGTGTTTGGCCATCCTATCACCAGAGTAGGTCAGTTCAGGCTGTCTCTCAACCATTGCCAGCAGTCTATTATGGGGGCATCTTTGTGGATTTCTGTGGGCCTCTCTAGCACTTTGCTTCTTCCTATTCTCATGGAAATGCAAATCAAAACAACTCTGAGATACCACCTTATGCCTGTCAGAATGGCTAAGATCAAAAACACTGAAGACACCTTATGCTGGAGAGGATGTGGAGATAGGGGAACTCTCCTCCACTGCTGGTGGGAATGCAAGCTTGTGAAACCACTTTGGAAATCAATATGGTGCTTTCTTAGAAAACTGGGAATCAATCTTCCCCAAGATCCAGCTATACCACTCTTGGGCATATACCCAAGGAATGCTCAATCATACCACAAGGGCACTTGCTCAGCTATGTTCATATCAGCATTGTTTGTAATAGCCAGAACCTGGAAACAACCTAGATGCTCTTCAACTGAAGAATGGATAAATAAAATGTGGTACATATACACAATGGAATACTACTCAGCAGAGAAAAACAATGACATCATGAGGTTTGCAGACAAATGGATGGATCTAGAAAAAAATCATGCTGAGTGAGGTAACCAGACTCAGAAAGACAAACATGTTATGTTCTCACTCATAGGAGGATACTAGATGTGGAACAAGGATGACTGGACTGCTATTCACAACACCAGGGAGGCTACCTGGAAAACAGGACCCCAAGAAAGACACGGGGATCACCCAATGACGGAGAAATGGATGAGATCTACATGAACAGCCTGGATGTGAGTGGGGGTAATGAAGGGCGAGGGTCGAGGGAAAGAGAGCTTGGGGGAGCGGGATATCCCAGCTGCATCAAGAACAGAGAGGGAGAACAAGGAATAGGAGACCATGGTAAATGAAAATCACTTATACCTTTTTAGAACATCCTCACAATAGTCTGGTAAGCATAAGCCAAGTATTTCCTGAGTCCTGTGAGCCCTTATGCAGAATTATTGAGCCTGCATGGAGCACTGTGGAGAACCCTATCAAGAGCCAAGCTGACAGAGTTTGGTCATGTGCTATCCGTGATTGGTATGTAGGGTTGAGAGAAGTCTGTGAAGTTGAGCACTTACCCCATGGGGTCTGCACTAATTCCAGGTAAGTAATTTCAAATTTCGATTATTTTGTAGGGTAATAAGTCTGCATAAAATTGGAGGATGGTTCATTGTGTAAAGCGCACATAGTGGTTAGAGAAGTGCTATGATCAGAGAAGCAGGTTACTTTGTATCACCAAGTTGGAGACTTTTGCCCATTTTCCACTGACATATTTTAAACAAGTATCACGGTGCCTGCCATCCAGGGAGTGCTCACAAGACCTGTCAACAGAATGAATGGGAATAGAGCTTGACATCCTTGTCCATTCAAGCTTTTATAACATAACAATGCAAACCAGGAGGCTTATAAACCAATGGTTTCAAAAGTTGGACAATCTCAAGATCCTGCTGCAGACGAATTTGGTGCCTGGTGAGGTCCTGCTTTCCCACAGATGTCTGTCTTCCCTCAGGTGGTGGACGGTGCCATGGATCTTTAAGGGGTCTCATGAGAAGTCCACCTCTATGACTTGATACCCCCCAAATCCTCACCTCACAATACCCCTATCTCTGCTCAGAGGCTTTGGCCTCCCATGGGTCCCAGTCCTCTCAGAATCACCACCTCAACATCTGTTTTTTCCTTCTCATCCAGTAACTTTCTGACTCTGTTCCTAGGATACCTGCCTGATGCTCCTGAAACATCTTGCCACCAGAGAACTAAACAAATGAGCCACACATCTTACTAAGCCATTTCCTGTGAGTGTTGTAATCCTTGCTCTTCACCCTCAATCTAACCATCTCTAAGAGTATTAAATTACCCACTGCAGAGTTCTGCATAGAGGAAAAGGGGTGTATCTTAACTGAGCATGCTACTTTAAGATCAGGGAGAACAGTCTTCCCACCCTGCCCAGTGTTAGCTATGGGTCTGAAAGCGATTCCCTATGAGGAGATGTTGCATCTATCAAGGCTGGAAACTAGAATCTTGATCTACAGTAAAGTCACTGCCTTGCCAACCAATAAATCTTCCCCAAAGTTCCTCTACCCCACCTCATCCCATCCTCTAACCAGCTTTACCCTCCTGATCACACAGGGTGAGTAGGCCAATGGTGTGTGACATGGCTCTCACATCCTGTCTGTCTTGAAGTTCAATTGTGTATTGAAGCAGTGATTTCTGTGTCTGCTTCCTCCACTCATCAAATCTACACACATTTTCCTGCATACATGCACTAACACTGTACTCAGTTGTCTGGGCAGATAATCCATACAGTCTCCTGGAAAACAAAGACATTTGGCATGAACATAAAACATGGACACTTGACGGCAAACAGAAGAGTTTGCCTTTGTTTACCTGCTGGCTCTGCCTCCTCTTGCCTCTACCCCAATGCTGAGTTAGGGAGCCAGTGTTCACAAACCTGCACTGGCTCCCTCCAGCACCACGAAGAATGCATAATTCTGTCGTATCTCATTATATGGTGCTGAACAAGTGACAGCTCCCCTAGGAATCTGGACAGTTTGATGAAGTACGCAGCACTCTCAAAAGCTCCCGATGTCTCCTCAGTGCAGCCATGCCAGTTTGGAGATAGCAAATCCAGTTTTTGTAATGTTATAACTAGAAAATCTGTCCAAAAATCCCCTTGGTGGCAGCTCCCTGGGGAGATGAAATGTGGGTGCACTTTCAAGAAGAAGATACTGTGTTCTTTCCTCTCTCCTGTCAGATGCTGCTCCAAGGACGGAAGACTCTGTGCCTCTCCTCAACTTGTTCTTCACTCTGTCTCCTGCGGTCCTAGATTGATGGATTCTCTTCACCAGAATGACACTTACCTGCCTGCACTTGAACTTCAGGTGCCCAGAGCCTCCGACTGAGAATATCCCCCATGCTGATTGGACCCTCTGACTTCAGAACTACTGGAGGACCTTCCAGCTCTCAGAGTAGGTCCCATCAAACTAAGCACATGGACAACTCTGGAGAACAAGTGTCCAGAGATCAAGGAAGCATATGACACCCTGAGCAAAAGGCCAAGAATGAGACAGAGGCTATGTTAACAAGAGTCAAGGTTCCAGCTCAATGGAGCTGAGGGTGGGCGTGGGGGTGGGGCGCAAACCTGAGGATTGAAATGAATGGAAGAATAAAACCTAACAATGAGCTGGGGAGTGTGGCTCAGTTTAAAGGTGCTTGCCTAGCATCCATGAAGCTCTAGGTTCAATGCCAGCACCAAATAAACCAGGTTTGGTGAGACACACTGGAAATCTCATTCCTTGGGAGGTAGAGGCAATAGAATGAGAAATTCAAGGTCACCACCTTCAGCCCCATGGTGAGACTCAAGCCAGAATCTCTGAGACATAAGACCTTGCCTAAATGGGTGGATGGGTGGGTGGATGGATGGGTGGGTGGATGGATGGATGGATGGGTGGGTGGATGGATGGATGGATGGATGGATGGATGGATGGATGGATGGATGGGTGGATGGATGGATGGATGGATGGGTGGGTGGATGGATGGATGGATGGATGGATGGATGGATGGATGGGTGGGTGGATGGATGGATGGATGGACGGATGGGTGGATGATAGACAAACACATAACTAGTGACCTAGAGCATGCAGAAGACAAAGAGAATAAATGAGAGATGAATAGCCACAGACTTTCCATCTTGTGGAGTATGTTTAGCCAGAATGAAGGAAAAAGCTTCAAGGCACTAACAGAGAGCTTCCTTGTGTAAGGACGTGTTTCTTCAGTCCCTGGTATAAACCATAATAGCACTTCCCTGCACTCTTCTACCAAGTGTAGGCAGGCCCTGTCAGCAGGTGAAAGGTGAAGTATGAAATCACATACTGTGGGATTATAAAATTATAGAAAGAGGTGAAAGTATCCACAAGTCACTGAGAATTTGCAGATCCTACAAGCAAGCAGGACTTGAACCTTAGACACAGGTGTGTGAAATCTGAGCAGTTCTTTCAGCCAAGGAGTCAGAAATAAATGTGCAAAATTTGTGAGCAGTGTCCCCAGAACAGGAACAGGCAGAGTGTGACTCTAGGAAGTTAATTACCTGGACAGGAAGGGCATTGGGTCTGCAGGGACTGAAACAAGACTGGGAAGCCCAAAGTTCAGGAAGGCATTGGTTGGGTCAGGGCATAAGCTTCCTGTGTTTGAACACACGGTCCCACCTGGTAGAGATATTTTGGGAGACGGTGGCAGCTCTGGGGTAGAGCTTAGATAGTGGACATTGTGGGTAAGCCACTAGCACCACCCCTGATTCAGACCAAGTTCCTTATTTCTTCATCTACCAACCTGTGAATACGCTGTGACACAAACTCGCACTGTCACTGACGGTGCCGCCCCAGCAGCCATACCCCACAGTGATGAACTGTTCCCTTTGGAACTGTGAGCGGAACAGACGCTTCTGCCTTTACGTTTTCTTGCCGGATATTTCACCACATCAATTACAAAAAGTAACTGGTAACAGAAGCTTTAGATGACAGGGTCATTCTAGCAGCAAAGTTTGTTGTGAGTTGGGTCTCCTGAGGGACCCGAGGAGTGGCTTTGCTCTACTCAGCATTAAAGGCTCTGCTTTGTGCTTCCAGGGTTTCTAGGAGGGAAAATCAACTGGCCTGTCATTAAAGAGCAACAATGTTGCGAGCTGAGAACTCTGGGACCTGTATGTACACAGGCCCTCAGTAAGTCCTCTAACAATACCATTCCTTCACAAACAAGTATTTCCAAAGAACCTATCATGTCCTGGATGAAGGCTCAACACAGAAGCACAATTCTTTGACTTTGAAGAATCAACACACACAGGTAAAGAGCAGCCTGTAGTCCTGCTTTTAGGAAGTGGACATCAGTACCAGAGTTCAAAGGCAGAGGTGGCAAAGCCTGATAAAGTTTCTTCCTTTCTCAATGCCTGTGGCAAAGCTAGGCCAGGCACTTGGATATACAGTAAACCAGGCAGGGTTACTCTCTGGAAGTGTGAGGACTGATTCTCATCAACTCAAACGGACTCAGAATTACCATGGACCTCCTTACTAGCTAGCCTCCCTGGAGCTGTGGGTTGTAGTCTGGTTATCATTTGCTTTACATCTAGTATTCACTTATGAGTGAGCACATACCATGTTTATCCTTCTGAGTCTGGGTTACCTCACTCAGGATGATTTTTTTCTAGTTCCATCCATTTGCCTGCAATTTCATGATGTCATTATTTTTTCCATGACTGGAAAAAGTAGAGACAGCTAGCCCAACTAGTGGAAATGCATGAACTGTGGAACAATAGCTGAGGAACCCCCATAGTACTGGACTAGGCCCTCTGGATAGGCGAGACAGTTGTTTAGCTTGAACAGTTTTGAGGGGCCCCGGGCAGTGGGATCGGAACCCATCCCTAGTGCATGAGCTGGCTTTTTGGAACCTAGTGCCTAGGGTGAGACACTTGTGCAGCCTTGGTGCAGGGAGGAGGGGTTTGAACCTGCCTCCACTGAATGTACCAGGCTCTGTTGACTCCCCATGGGAGACCTTGCCTTGGAGGGGGTGGGAATGGGGGGTGGGTTGGTGGGGGAAGACTCAAGGGCGGGAGGAGGGAGGACAGGGGAATCTTTATTTGTTATGTAAAAGGAATAGAAAATCTCTTAATAATAATAACAATAACAATAATAATAAAGAATTACCATGGAAACAAGCCCCTGGGTGTCCCTCTGAAGGAATTCTCAGAGAGATTTAACTAAGGAAGAGGAGCACCAACTCTGGCGTCTCCCTGCTGCCAGACTGAGGATGCCATGTGACCAGCTGCCTCGCGCTCTCCCGCCGGTGATCCTTGCCCACCACGCTGGACTGGACCATCACACTGTGAGCCCAGTCAACCCTCCCTTACATCAGTTGCTTGTGTTTGGTGTCCTGGCACAGGAACAGGAAAAGTCACTCAAAGTCTGAAAAGTTCACAGCCTTAAAGATTTAGGAGGATTTTAAAGGCAGCAGACAGCATCATGGCTGCCTGGAGTATCCCAGGCAAGCCCCAGGGCAGAGGTGGTGGGAGGCAGGGGGCACAACTGCACACCCACAGAGATACTGCAGGATCACCTGAGGACACACTAGCTCGTTTGCTATGCCGGTAAGCCAAAGGGCAGTTCAGACTGGTCCATCTCCTTATCTCCTTTGTCTTCATTTCTACCTCCTTTGAGAGAATGGTTTCTTTCTTGCAGATTCAAATTTCCAGCTTGGTTTTTAGCTTCCTTATCATATCTGATTTACGCTAATTGCTTACAGCAGACCATTGGCATTCAAGATGCAGCCAGCCATAGTGGAAATAGCCCATCCTGGGAACTGGCTGACCTGGACAGAGTCTGTGAGTGTGGGAGCATGGAAATGAGGGGAGGGACACTCACCCAGGCACTAGAACCCAAAGCAGGTGCAGTAGCCTGGAACTTTCTCAGCCGGACAATTGCCAAGGATGACTCAACTCCATTAGGGTGCACTGATTAACCAGAGCCTGTGTGCCAGGTGTACCACTGGGCAGGCTGGTGGGAAATCATGGTCGTAGGGTTCCAGCCGCTATCTTTGCCAAAGAACCAACAAAGAGACAAATAGAATAATACTAATAAAATTGTTCCAGTGTCTGACTTTCCGTGTGGGAGGAGAGAAAGGGAAAGGCAGCACTTTCATCAGCTCAGAGGAGCCAGGGATGAGGAAGACAGAGAAGTGATCGGGTCTGGCTAATATCTGCACTTGGCCAGAGTCTGCAGCCTTCTGTCCACACTGTGCACCTACGCAGCACTTAAGCTGGGTCATCTTCTAAGCACAGCTAGTGTGATCTGTGCTAGGAGCCTTACGTGTATAACCCAAAGGTCAACTGGAGTCAGCTAGACACTTAAGACCTCGAAAAGTCAGTCGGGCTGGAGAGATGGCTCAGTAGATAAGATGCCGGCCATGTAAGCACGAGGACTTGGGTTTGGTCTCCCTGGAACCTGCATAAAAAGCCAAGTGCAGTGGTTCCCATCTGCTATTCCAGAGCTGGGCAAGTGGGGACGGGGAGATTCCCGGTGCTTGCCTGGTTAGCCAGCCGGCGCAAATCAGGTACAGTGAGAGGCTGTACCTCCAAAGATAACATGGAGTGTGACTAAGGAGAGATCCCAACATCAGCTTCTAACATCCACACACATACATACACACTGGCACACATGGGTGCACCCCACACTGCACATGTAAAAAGATAATTGTTTCAAAGAAGTGTAAAATATTTTTAAAACTAGAATGACTAATCCCTATCTTGAGGAAATTCAAAGCATGTCCGAATTTTTAAATTTTTCTGCTGATTCGTAGGGGGGAAAGGGTGTTACTCCCAAGTGCCCTCTTGGTTTCAAACTAGAGCAATTCAGCAATGAAGTAAGTCCTTCATCCTCTTCCTCTATTTAGAAGACAAAAGCAAAATAAAATAGATCCCTTAAACACTAGACATCTGTTGTCATAACAACCATGGTTCTGATAAACCATCTACAAAGCCAGCAACGGTTTTGAGTTGAGCATCAGGCATCTCCCTCCCTCCACTGCAGTTCAACTTCCAATGCTGGAACCACTGGCCAACGGCAATCCCCACCGTCAACTGCTATTCCTCACTCTCCCCACCCCCGCCTTATTCTAGAGAAATTCAGACTTGAAAACCTTGGCTATTCCTAACAAGAAGTCATAAGGAAAAGAGATCCTGGGACAGGGGCAGGAGGGCTAATAACTAACATGGGAATGTCGGTCTCCCAGTCGCTGACTTTTGGAATCATGATAATAATCTAAGATATATGCATGCTTTCATTTATTTCTTCTTCTAAATAAAAACTTCATCAGGCCAGACCCCACACCTGTTCAGGTTTGAATGTAAAATGCCTCCCACCCCAGGTCATGGTTTGAACACCTGCTCTCTGGCTGGTGGAACTGTTTGAGGAGGTTGTGGAACCACTGGAATATGGGGCCTAGTTGGTGAGACAGAACACTGAGGATGGCCTTAGGCTTATAGCCTGAGCCTGCTCTGCTCCTATCTGCCTCCTGCTGTGTGAGGACATGGGACACCTCCACCCCTCCTGCTGCGGTGTCCTTGCCCCAGTGGTCTTATATCTCAATGATATCTAACCATTCTTCCCTGAAACTGCCTCCTTGGGGTATTTTGTCCTAACAAGATAGACTAATTAATACACCCTCCATGCTCTTTGCCCTGATAATAGTGATGAGGCCAACAAGTCACTCAGACTCTGCATCAAGAAATATAAAGCTGGAGAAAGGGCCAGCTGATCCTCTACAAGCGCCTGCCACATGCCTAACTCTGTACTAATTCACTCACAAGGGATGCCACAGGCTTTCTGTTCTACAGGGAAGAGAGTGGTCCATAAGACTGAGAAAGCTAACAGAACTCACATGGCTCAGAAAAGTTAGGGGACTCTCGAGGCTATTCCCAGCGTTGTATAACAGTAAGCAAGTGGTAGAGTTGAGAACACTGGTTCAGCTGCGGGCAAGTTGGGCAGGGACCTCCAGGAACGCAGCTTTCACAGGTTGTCTGTCAGCCACGTAGGGTGGGCTTCTCAGTGGTGAAGCTGTCTTTACGTCACGTGCTCTTACAAGCAGCCATTTACCCTTGCTCCTGTGAGTAACCCCCATGAGCTCACTGGTTCTCAGAGCCAGGACAGGCAGAACTGTTTGCTTTGTCACTGGTGCCCTAGGAGGGATAAAGAGACATTTGTTCACTCCCCTCAGTAACTGCCGTGCAGCAATTCCTTGTCCGAGTTCCTGGTTTTAGAGTTGAAAACACTAAAACTGTCTAAAACAAAAAGAGTCTTCCAGGGTTTTGAGGCAGGTGGTGTGTCAAATCAACACCAGGGAGAATTTCTTGGTTCACCATATTCTGATAGTCTCTGACTCAAGAAAATGTCTGAGAAGACACTCCAGGCTTTAAGCTTTAGAGAACAATAGTGTGTTTGGGGCAATTTAAGCAATGAAGAGGAGAGCTTTCTAGAATGTTAAAAATCATACCGTGTGAGGGACATCCTTGATATCACAAACATGGTAGAACTTTAAAAATCATGCCATGCAAGGGACGTCCCCGATAGCACAAAATGGTGAACATCTTCCAATAATGAGCTGGTGAGGCAATGATCAGATCTAGCTCAAACACACAAGAAAACACCAGAATCTTATGATAGCCATGGATCACTGACTTGTCTAAGAGTGTGAAGGAATTTGGCTTTTTATGGCGTTTCTTTTCTCTCTAGACTTAATACTTATACATTTGATTTTGAATCAAGGGAACAAGGTTCATCTTCCCAGAGTGAGCAGTCAGTGATGTTAGTTTTCTCCAAAATCTTGGTGTAGAAGGACTCATCCACAGCTCCCTGGAACATCCTTAAGGACAACTATCTTAGTTACTTTCTTCTTTCTGAGCTAAGACACCAGGACAGAAGTAACACAATAGAGGGAAACGTCTATTTGGCTTACAGTTACAGAAGGACATGGCGAAGAACACAGGCCAGAGGCAGGGACGGCATGGTGGCAGCAGCCTGAGGCTGGCTGCTCACATCGGATTGGACCCCAGGAAGCAAGGGGTAAGCAGGAAGTGGGGCCAGGCCACAGAGGCTCAAGGCTCTCCCTCAGTGACCTTTCGTGAGATTCCACTTCCTGAAGGCTCTCCGAATCCCCCAGTGCCAACAGCTACTGCTGGTCCCTTCCACGGTGACACTGCTTTCAAGTGTCCCAACGAGTGAGCCCACAGAGGACACAACATTCACACTGCAACAGTTGACTTGTTTGGAGAGGTCAGAGGTTATACAGAGCAATGGGCAGCCCTGCCCTTCTCCAGGTGTTTGACAGGTGTCTACTAGGCCGAATTGGCTCAGAGAGTAACATGGCTTTGGGCCTCCACGAACAGCAACAGGGACATATCTGGACTAGACCTGACTAGATGCACCAGACCCGTAGAGAGAGAAACCACTTAAAATACAGGTGCCTTTAATCTAGGCTAGACCCAGGCTAGACTAATCTTGGGCTCTTTCTTCAAGGATGTTGCATAAGATCTTCTGCACATAACATTTGCTTAGCCACTTTGAGTTCTGTCTTAGTTACTTTTCTATTGCTGTTATAAGACACCATGATCAAGGAAACTTATAAAGAGAGTTTATTGAGTTTCTGAGGGTTGGAATCCATGATCACCGTGTGGGGAGCAAGGCAGCAGGCAGGCATGGCCCTGGAGCAATAACTGAGAGCTCATGCTTTGAGACACACTGTGAGGCAGAGATTGGGAATGGCAAGGCCTTTTGAAACATCAAAGCCTACCCTCAGTGACACATGTCCTCTAACAAGGCCACACCTCCAAATCCTTCCCAGATGGTTCCACCAATTGGGGACAAGCATTCAAATGTATGAGCCTATGGGAACCATTCTCATTCAAATCACAAGCTGGTTCCCATCACTTTCACTGATGTCTG